TCAAAACTGCTAGTTTAGCTACAAGATTTGCCCACAATCAATATGAGATACATACATACATATGTCCTATCACAGGCAGCTCTCCTGATATTTCTGGGTTTCTGTTGCTTTGTACCAAGCAGGTACAAATACAACAGTTTATTTTTATCAGTAGTGGAAAAGTCAGTTACAAATAAAAGATTGGAAAAAAAGCACATGAAATTGCTTAGGGAAATTCTGCTGACTTATAAACCTGATACAAACTGAAGGAACCACATTTATTTAGAATTGACCCATTTTCTGTTAACTAACACTCCAGTGTTATGCAAGAATCATGATGCTTAACTCAATTTAAGATGCTTCAAAAGTACAAGGTTTCTCATGCTAAGTGAGAAACTAGTCACAAAAGACCACATGTTGTATGACACTGCTTATATGAAATGTCCAAACAGAATGTGAATTGCTGGTTGCTGTGGGCTGGGCAGTGGGGTGTGGGGGAATGGCGAGTGACTGCTACTGGGTATTGGATTTCTTTTTGGGGTGATGAAAATGTTCTAAAATTGGATTATGGTGATACTTGCACAACCCTGCAAATACATCATTTAATTGTACATTTTAAATGGATAAACTTTATGCCATGTAAATTATATTTTAAAGCTGTTTTAAAAAACAAGTACTTCCCACACAAAAAAAGTAAGGTTTCTCTGTACTGACACTTTGTAGCACTGAAAAACAATTCTAATCTACTACAGAAGTATATGGAAACATAGTTTTTGTTTTCATAAAAATTAAGCTTTTAAATGTTTCATTGTTCTTAACAGAATGACCTGATTTTTGGTCATAATTGCTTTTCATTAAAATTAACAATGATTAAAGGAAATATTCTCTGGATTTCAGCTACAGTAGAAATGACTCAATCACTTTTAACCAGGTAATAACTTCTTTCAGGTTTCCTGCAATGGTAGCCTGGGATTTAATATTGCTATACTGGAATTCAACTACATTTACTAAAATTAAGAGTCCCACTATAAACTCTAAGCCAGCTGCATTGTGTTTTAAATGATTACATATTCTTTTGAAGAGAAAACAGAATGTTCAAGATGGTGCTTCAGAATGGGTTCTCTTCTAAAATGTAACATACCTCACATGAGCCTTTATGCAAAAATAATGATCCACTTCACTCACTCCACTTACACCCTGATGGTCAACAAAGTAACTATTACCCCAGCTTGGGACTATTGTTGTAGCTTGGGACTGCTTAAACATTTTTAAAAAATGTTTAATTCACTCATTTCAGTGTTCTCACCAGTAATTAACTAGAAGCCCATCTCAATACACCAAAGCTACATGCCCACTGGAGGATTGGAGAAGCAGATGGGAAGGTATGCAAGTCAACCTCTTCGTAACAGAATTGGAAAGGCCAAAGCCACAATCAAAGCAGGTGGAGAGAAGGGATCAGAACAGGTTAGAAAACCTCTAGGATCAAAAAAGGAAAAGCAGAATCAATCCTGAATAATCATAACAAAGAACACTTAGCAGCATTTAGTTCTTACCCCTTTAGTATTACAACTAGTATTACTGTCCTCATCACTGAATATGAAGATGTATTGGAATATTGTTCTTGTAATGAGAGGAACTTGTGGCGAACCCTTCATATCTTCACAAAGGGGACTATAAAAAGTGATACTAGGTTTACTGTAACTGCCAGTACTGCAGCAGAGAGGTGCTTCAGGCCAAATGCTTCTGACCTTTCTGCACCTCTCTCAGGTGACGGGTGTGACAGCAGCCTTAACACTGAGGGCCCTACACCCCTGATACTCCTGCTTCAAATTACAATGCTTTTCCATAAGAGTCCTCTTGAAATCAACAGCATAATTCTCATCCAGGAGGCTAGATGTGCTCTGATCAGAAAAGCATCACCTAATGGCCTATATAATAGCTATCTCCATAATCGGACCCCCCTAAGCTTTACATTCTAATTCTGTACTTTATGTTATGCCAGAACATACCAGTCCAGACGTTTTGACAAGCAAGCTTCCCCAAATTCTGACCTGATTTCAGCCAATAGGGAGGTGAGTGGCTTCAACCCTCTTGCTACACTATGAATCTAAATTTCAATCTGCCTCTACCCACGTGCCATCCCTAAAATCTGAGAAAAACACCACAACCTGTCTAATTAATCTAACACCCTCTTTAAGAGTCGCACCTGCTAATAAAAGCCACCATGAATATTATTTGTTGATGTAAACATGCCAGTGATGAATCAGAAACCAGAAGGACATCAAGCTCTGGAGGACTCCCATGGCTGATCTCAATGCCCCACTGCCACCTCCTCTTCACTGCTCCACCCAAAGCTTTCAGCTTAGTCAATTTGCCCAGAAAGAGAAGGCCCACTCTGCCAACAGACGTAACTATACTTCACTGCTAGAACTTCCAAACAGTTAAAAATTCCGAAGTGCCCCAAATACTTAAAAACACTGCTTTGGTAGAGCCAGCTGATTATGAGTAGGTATGTTTCTAAGGAACTTTACACCAGTTATTAACAGACTAAAGGGGGGCTTAGAAAAAAAAGTTCTTACTTAAATCCTCCCATCAACCTATAATATACAGGTAGGGTAGATTATTTGGGCTGTTAGTTAATAGTTTCCTCAGTTTCCACACATCATAGATTTTACTGCAGGGTGACAACCCACCAACTTTTAATTCCATTTTTCCAATAGCAAATGTTCATTACAAATGATACTAGTTTACATTTGTTCATCTCTTTACACTTACACTTTTCAAAATGCTTTGCCAAACATATTATAATTTTCCCAATCCAGAGATGTAGGCAGAGAGAACAATATTCTCATTTTATCTATTAGACATGGAGAAAAGGAAAGTGAATTGTAAATCAAGCCAGTTCCTTAAGTGCTGTATGACTATCATAAATATGCACCATCTTTCTACTTGTAGTCAACTAGTACAGTGCCTGGCACATAGTAGACATTCAATAGGTATTTGTTAGGGAGATAGACTGTCTACCTCTTTTTTTTTAAGGGTTATTAGGAAATGAGTCACATACATGGAATGGTACCCATCTCCAGCAAACACTAAATATTAACAATTGCTATTTTTAAAAAAAAAGGACCCACAGGGGTATTATAGGCACGTAGCATGTGTAAAAGGCCCTGGAGAAAAGTACACATGTCATCAACATGGCTGAAACATGGAGAGTGGCATGCAGTGAAGCTGGAGAGGCACCCAGGCAGGAACAGGCAGGGCCTTACAGTCCAAATTGGTGATCGAGGACACTTTTAAACTGTGAACGATGGAAAAACATTAAACAAGTTTTTGCAGAGAAGCAACATGATTAGATCTTTCTAAAAGAACATTTTGACTGTAGGTAAAGAATGGATTAGACAGATCAAAGGTGTTCAAGGAGACATGAAAGGATATTTCAACAGTCCTGTCAAAAGATAAAAGCTGGTAATTTAGGCTAGGTCGGTCGCAGTGGAGGAGGGAAGTGAATTAATTCAGTAAGTACTTATGAGGTAAAATCAAAAAGACTTGTCAGCTGGACTTTCTGATTATTAGATACAGGGGGCGAGGGATGGGAAAAGCCCAGATTTGCATAGTTTTGACCTGAGCGCCTGGAGAAGGAGCAGAGGGACGGTAAGTTGTCTTAGACATGTGAACGTCAGTGCACGTAAGAAATCCAAATAGAAATATCTGTAGGCAGCTAGATGTACACAGGTCATGCAGCTAGGTCCAGGGTAAATAAGAGGGGTCCAGGCTAGAGACAAAGACCTAAGAGGAAAACTGAATTGAGGGGACAGGGGAGAGAATGAGCCACCCTCAGGAGAATGCAGGGCTGCCACTTACTGCTAAGCAACTCATGTCTCTGGAGCCTACCACCATGAGCGAGGACCCCCTTATCATGTCCTGCCTTGCATTACAGTGGGTTATCCATATCCTTCCTCCCCATGAGACTGTTTAATTTTCGGGAGCGCTGGACCTGCATCTGGTTCTTCTTGGTAACCACCGTACAGCCTTACAGTGTCTGGCTGGCGTAGGTGCCCAGTCAATGACAAAGAATCCTGAAAGAAGTCCTCCTCTGGCTTTTCACTGTCCCACTCCTTTGCCCCTTCTCAGGGACATTAGTTCTGGGCAGCGAGGGAAGAACGTAAAAAGATGCTAGAAAAAGCGGTCGTCCACCTAACAACCAAAAAAAGGTGAATCGACCCATTACAAGAGGGTTTAAACCATTCAAGAGGGCAGTGAAAGGGACAGCACATTAAATGATCAATAAGACACAGTCACAAGCTTTCAAGGGCTCACAAACCAGTGCGGGAGGCCAACACTGACAGGAAGATGACAACGCTCAAGGGGTGCACGGGTCTCCAGGGTGTAGCTTCCTGATGGAGGGCGCCACGGCCCTGCAGACACCATCCCCGCCGCCCTCGCCAGCTCCTCCACTCACTCTTGTCCAGAGGGCGGGTAAGCTCAGCCCCGACATCCCCATCCGCGCTGGGGCCCTGAGGTTTCACAGTCAGCGGCACGAACAAGGACGTGTTTGGGGCTTTGGAGCCTCCTGATGCAGAGGAGGAGGCTGAGGCAAGGGCAAGAATGCGCCCCAGGCTTCCAGAAAAGGGCCCATTGTGGGCGCGAAGGGCAGAGCAGATAGCTGCCCGGTGTCCAGCCCGGCGCCTCGCCGGGAGCCGAGCCCACAACAGGGCACACCGGGGAAAAGACATGGAGGCCGCAGGCACTACGCGAGTTTGGCTGGAGCAGCCCGGGAAGGCGGCGGAAGGCAGTGACGCACAGCTCAGCGCCTACTGTCCGGAAAGACCCAGACTGAGCAGGGGGCTGCCCAGGAAAACGCCCGACCAATAAGGAAAATGTAGTGCCTAAGATTGCTCGTAAAGGGGAGGAAAAGCTTAGAAATGAAAAACAGGAAACGTAAGTTCTTTCTCTCTTTCTTTGTAGATTGAGACCAGCTCTCTATAAATAAAAGAAAATAATCAGGCACTTTGGGGATGTCATGGATGAGAGGAGGGCCGCTTTAAGTGCGTCACAGGAGGCGAGGTGACCCCGTGAGCGAGCACGTGTTTCAGAAACACGTGGGCAGCGTGGTAAGCGGCGCAGGGAGCACTGATGGTAAAGAAACCTCGTGAGCTGTGGGCACCGGTAAAGCTTGCGGAACCCGACACTAAAGAGCATTTCCCAAAAGTTTATTGGATTAGTTTTCGTTTTCTAACAGACCAGCGTTACAGAACATAACTTGATCTGCCTCTCAGGAACATTGCTAAGGAATTTTGTTCTAGAAGTTCTTAGGTAAACCCCAGTATGATACATGTGTATGTACTTTAACGTGTGTAGTTTGTGTACGTCATCCTAGCTGCTGATAGCGTCATACTGCATAGCAAATACGGGTCCTGTGTTCTCCGTACAAAGTTTAGTTTTATTTGATTTAGTTGGATATTCTGTCATACGTGGTTTCAACTGAATTCAAGATATGTTAGGTTTTTTCACATCTCCCATTATGCTTAAAACATTAAGATGTTAAGACTTGGAGGAAGGTGTCATGCAATATGTAATCCTGTGTGTCAAATAGGACTCCAATAACCAGTTGCTATGTGCCTTTGATTCAGAGTACTTTTAAAATAACGGATACAGGTTGACGTCTTGCCCTCAAAGTGGTTCTGATCTGGTTTTGGTGATGCGAACGGCACACGTTGCATAATGCAAATACCATCTTAAATGAGAGTGCAAAGAAAGGAAAAGTATCAGAGCCTTAAGGCGATTTCTTTCAGTCTTANGGACAACAGGTGGTGTAGGGCTATAAGCTCTGAAAGAAGGAATGCTTGAGATGAGCCCTACTGCACCCCCAGACAGGTGGAACCCAAGCAAAGTATGATAGTCCCACCGAGCTGGGCAAAAGAGATAAAATTCAGAGTTGCTGAATCAGCTGGAATCCAAAGGGCAGACTGTGGAACAAAAGAAAGGGTGCGCTGGAGGGGGGACCCTCAAAGTTGGTATGGGAGTCCCCTGTGAGTCCTTGGCCAAGCGTTGGGCTGAAGATGGACAGGGACTGGCAGCAAACAGCTTGCTGAGGGCTTGAGCAGAAGTCTCAAGTAGCAAAGTGCTAGGACATATTGGAGTTCCAAGCACAGCAGGGTAAAGTGCTCATTAACAGCCCTGGCACTCAGATGAGACACCAGAAAGGCCACACATGAATTGTAAGGACAACACCCTGAAGTTAGGGCTACTCTATTTCTGCCCTAATAAAGCTTAAAACCAAGCTTGGTCAGGATCAAGAAGAGACACCAATTAATTGCCTGCTAATACTAACTGCCTATTTTTCTAGGGAAAACAATACAATCTAGACTTCTTATGATTTATCAGCCCACATACAATAAAAAATAATAATTATCACTAATTTCCCAAAACAAGACAGATAATTTCAAATCCACAAATGAAGAAACTAACCAGTTAGGTGGTATTCTTAAGTCACTGATTTTACGTAGATCATCCTTACATTCCAACATAGGAAATATCTGTTTCGCATGTCTCAAGAAAAATGGAAATAAATCATCCACATGAGCTGAAAAATAAAACACAGTGTTAACATGGGCAATCTACATGTTATCCATAACAGAATGAGTGAAACCTTTTCTCTGAGTCAGCTGAGGTAGGGGGACATTGCCAAGATGAGGAGGAAAACTCTGGAGGAAGGAACTCTATCCTTTTCTGAGGTCTTGCTTTGTCTAACATTTTCCTCCTAATTTCACTTACAAATTCCTCAAAAACAAACAAACAAATAAACAGCAAATTGAATGCCAACCACCGTGTTCTACTCCTCCAATACAGGTAAAGATCAGCGTTGATCCAAGTTAAATTAAAAATAAAGAACCTGGAAATACATTTTAGAGAGAAGGCCTGTGTTTACTGAAGAGAAATACAGGTGGAAACATTTTTTATACTGGAAACCACTAAGAGACAAAACATGAAAATGAACTGATTCCTCAGCAAGAAGTCTCCAGTTTAGTGGCTCTGAGGAAAGTAGGGCCCTGTCCTATTCTGCTTTGTACTCAGGATCTACCTCAGGTAAAGATCTAACTTTACTTTAAAGTCCAATAATTTAAAAAATAAACATAAAGCCAAACCACTTATGTAAACAAAATACTGATGTTCTTACATATTTTTCTTTTATAGCAAGAGCTTTGTCCTGACATGAGTAAGCAAGAAGCCAGCAGCAGTAAGAGATGGACCCTACCTTGTGTGAGAGTATGTTTCACTGTGGTCTGTATTAATACACAGTGGAGAGAAGATGGTGATAAGCCAAGGCCCCAGTCTTCCTCCAGGCTAGGACAGGAGTGATTTAATAACTAGTCAGAGACCCACTATAAAAGCAAAAGGGCCTAGAAAGCCTTTTAGGAAAGCACAGAGGATGTTAATAGGGGTTCCTCTAAAACAAATAAGCCCTATCTAGAAAAATAAACATGAAGTATGATAGAAATAGAAAGTACGCTCAACAGGATTTTAAAAAGTAATCACTTGCCTGCACTGAAACAAATATCATTCAAAATAATGTGAATGTCCACATCCAGGGAATGAGATTGCACGATGTAATTTCGGAAGCTTATGAAAGCTTGGTGGAAGAGACGAGCTGCAGGAAACACACAATCAAAATAGGTAGGCCTTAGTTTTCATTTCATTTCTCATTAAAAAAAAAATTACATCACACCTAACTCATCAAAGTATCTCTTTTTTTTGGTAGTACAGCTGTTTATTATGATCTGGCTAAAACTGACATCTTAGCACGACATGAAGGAACGCTGAACACACAGCTCCTGTGCCATGTGTCTGGCACACCAGGTGCATCTTGCCAATCTTCTGCCCAGAAAGAAGCAAAGATCAGGGACATCCTCCACATGACAACTATGTTCTTATGTCCAGGCTACATAAGGCCCCACTCAATACAAAGTTTAATCTAAAAGTAATAAAATATCTCTAGTGGAAATGTTACAAGCCTTACCATCAAGTCCATAATCAGCACCCAGTTTCTGAATTTCTTTCCTCTTGTAAAACTTGTCTAAGATCTTCTTTACTTCATCTGGAAGAAAGATACCACAATTTAATGTTTGTGTAACTTCTGTTTTCCAGAGAGAGAAATGCCCAAAAAGCAAAAGAAACTGAAGTCCTAACACTCCACATAGCAGATCACTGAGCATTATGAGAACTGGAAGGTTCTAGAAGATCACAAGCTCTTTATGGCTGAATAGTTCAATGGAGTATCCAGAAAAATTATGAAGTTAAACAATGTAGTATTTCTGTTATAATGCAGAATAAGCAAGGTGCTTCAGGATTAGACATTGCCCCTAACCTCCATCAGGCCACTTTTAGAAACCTATGTTTAGTGCAGTTTAACAACCATTCTGAACACCTAATAGTGAGCAGTTGGAAGGTATCCAGGAAGAAGACAACCAAGACTGGATCACCATGCTTTTATAGGAATGACTAAAGCAGCCAGGGATGATCTTTAGTTTGAAGATGAATTTTGGGAGACCAGATTACACATATTTTATTCTAGAGGGCAAAACTAAAGTCAGTGGGAGGTGAGGGAAGCAGTTTCAGTAGAATTTACACAAGAAGTTCCTAACAATTAGAAAAGTGAAAAGGGGTTGCCTCATAAAAATGCCAGCACCTTGTTACTGGAAGTATTCAAGCAAAGCTTAGATAGCTGAACTTCAAGGATAATGGCAGACAAATAAATGACAGTGCTGTAGGGAAGGCTGAAACAGATGCCTGCTGAAGTAACATACTACTATGAATCAATAATTTCATGGGTGAAAATATATTAAATTACTCAAGCTCAGACTGTATAAACACTGTGCATGTTAAAATACTACTGCATTTAATCTGCAGAGACAAATATCTTACTGATCCAGCTACACACACTGCATTTCTGGGAAGGCAAGCCAAAACTGAGGACAGTCTTTGTCCAAAAAACACAGAAAGGCCATGTGGCCTATTTTTACCTCCCACAGAAGTACCAACTGCATTTTCATGAGGCTATAATATACACAATACATTGAAGAAATTATGCCTGATTAAAGCATCCCATTAACAAAACTGTGTTTTGCAGAAGGAGGTAATTTCAAAACTGCTAGTTTAGCTACAAGATTTGCCCACAATCAATATGAGATACATACATACATATGTCCTATCACAGGCAGCTCTCCTGATATTTCTGGGTTTCTGTTGCTTTGTACCAAGCAGGTACAAATACAACAGTTTATTTTTATCAGTAGTGGAAAAGTCAGTTACAAATAAAAGATTGGAAAAAAAGCACATGAAATTGCTTAGGGAAATTCTGCTGACTTATAAACCTGATACAAACTGAAGGAACCACATTTATTTAGAATTGACCCATTTTCTGTTAACTAACACTCCAGTGTTATGCAAGAATCATGATGCTTAACTCAATTTAAGATGCTTCAAAAGTACAAGGTTTCTCATGCTAAGTGAGAAACTAGTCACAAAAGACCACATGTTGTATGACACTGCTTATATGAAATGTCCAAACAGAATGTGAATTGCTGGTTGCTGTGGGCTGGGCAGTGGGGTGTGGGGGAATGGCGAGTGACTGCTACTGGGTATTGGATTTCTTTTTGGGGTGATGAAAATGTTCTAAAATTGGATTATGGTGATACTTGCACAACCCTGCAAATACATCATTTAATTGTACATTTTAAATGGATAAACTTTATGCCATGTAAATTATATTTTAAAGCTGTTTTAAAAAACAAGTACTTCCCACACAAAAAAAGTAAGGTTTCTCTGTACTGACACTTTGTAGCACTGAAAAACAATTCTAATCTACTACAGAAGTATATGGAAACATAGTTTTTGTTTTCATAAAAATTAAGCTTTTAAATGTTTCATTGTTCTTAACAGAATGACCTGATTTTTGGTCATAATTGCTTTTCATTAAAATTAACAATGATTAAAGGAAATATTCTCTGGATTTCAGCTACAGTAGAAATGACTCAATCACTTTTAACCAGGTAATAACTTCTTTCAGGTTTCCTGCAATGGTAGCCTGGGATTTAATATTGCTATACTGGAATTCAACTACATTTACTAAAATTAAGAGTCCCACTATAAACTCTAAGCCAGCTGCATTGTGTTTTAAATGATTACATATTCTTTTGAAGAGAAAACAGAATGTTCAAGATGGTGCTTCAGAATGGGTTCTCTTCTAAAATGTAACATACCTCACATGAGCCTTTATGCAAAAATAATGATCCACTTCACTCACTCCACTTACACCCTGATGGTCAACAAAGTAACTATTACCCCAGCTTGGGACTATTGTTGTAGCTTGGGACTGCTTAAACATTTTTAAAAAATGTTTAATTCACTCATTTCAGTGTTCTCACCAGTAATTAACTAGAAGCCCATCTCAATACACCAAAGCTACATGCCCACTGGAGGATTGGAGAAGCAGATGGGAAGGTATGCAAGTCAACCTCTTCATAACAGAATTGGAAAGGCCAAAGCCACAATCAAAGCAGGTGGAGAGAAGGGATCAGAACAGGTTAGAAAACCTCTAGGATCAAAAAAGGAAAAGCAGAATCAATCCTGAATAATCATAACAAAGAACACTTAGCAGCATTTAGTTCTTACCCCTTTAGTATTACAACTAGTATTACTGTCCTCATCACTGAATATGAAGATGTATTGGAATATTGTTCTTGTAATGAGAGGAACTTGTGGCGAACCCTTCATATCTTCACAAAGGGGACTATAAAAAGTGATACTAGGTTTACTGTAACTGCCAGTACTGCAGCAGAGAGGTGCTTCAGGCCAAATGCTTCTGACCTTTCTGCACCTCTCTCAGGTGACGGGTGTGACAGCAGCCTTAACACTGAGGGCCCTACACCCCTGATACTCCTGCTTCAAATTACAATGCTTTTCCATAAGAGTCCTCTTGAAATCAACAGCATAATTCTCATCCAGGAGGCTAGATGTGCTCTGATCAGAAAAGCATCACCTAATGGCCTATATAATAGCTATCTCCATAATCGGACCCCCCTAAGCTTTACATTCTAATTCTGTACTTTATGTTATGCCAGAACATACCAGTCCAGACGTTTTGACAAGCAAGCTTCCCCAAATTCTGACCTGATTTCAGCCAATAGGGAGGTGAGTGGCTTCAACCCTCTTGCTACACTATGAATCTAAATTTCAATCTGCCTCTACCCACGTGCCATCCCTAAAATCTGAGAAAAACACCACAACCTGTCTAATTAATCTAACACCCTCTTTAAGAGTCGCACCTGCTAATAAAAGCCACCATGAATATTATTTGTTGATGTAAACATGCCAGTGATGAATCAGAAACCAGAAGGACATCAAGCTCTGGAGGACTCCCATGGCTGATCTCAATGCCCCACTGCCACCTCCTCTTCACTGCTCCACCCAAAGCTTTCAGCTTAGTCAATTTGCCCAGAAAGAGAAGGCCCACTCTGCCAACAGACGTAACTATACTTCACTGCTAGAACTTCCAAACAGTTAAAAATTCCGAAGTGCCCCAAATACTTAAAAACACTGCTTTGGTAGAGCCAGCTGATTATGAGTAGGTATGTTTCTAAGGAACTTTACACCAGTTATTAACAGACTAAAGGGGGGCTTAGAAAAAAAAGTTCTTACTTAAATCCTCCCATCAACCTATAATATACAGGTAGGGTAGATTATTTGGGCTGTTAGTTAATAGTTTCCTCAGTTTCCACACATCATAGATTTTACTGCAGGGTGACAACCCACCAACTTTTAATTCCATTTTTCCAATAGCAAATGTTCATTACAAATGATACTAGTTTACATTTGTTCATCTCTTTACACTTACACTTTTCAAAATGCTTTGCCAAACATATTATAATTTTCCCAATCCAGAGATGTAGGCAGAGAGAACAATATTCTCATTTTATCTATTAGACATGGAGAAAAGGAAAGTGAATTGTAAATCAAGCCAGTTCCTTAAGTGCTGTATGACTATCATAAATATGCACCATCTTTCTACTTGTAGTCAACTAGTACAGTGCCTGGCACATAGTAGACATTCAATAGGTATTTGTTAGGGAGATAGACTGTCTACCTCTTTTTTTTTAAGGGTTATTAGGAAATGAGTCACATACATGGAATGGTACCCATCTCCAGCAAACACTAAATATTAACAATTGCTATTTTTAAAAAAAAAGGACCCACAGGGGTATTATAGGCACGTAGCATGTGTAAAAGGCCCTGGAGAAAAGTACACATGTCATCAACATGGCTGAAACATGGAGAGTGGCATGCAGTGAAGCTGGAGAGGCACCCAGGCAGGAACAGGCAGGGCCTTACAGTCCAAATTGGTGATCGAGGACACTTTTAAACTGTGAACGATGGAAAAACATTAAACAAGTTTTTGCAGAGAAGCAACATGATTAGATCTTTCTAAAAGAACATTTTGACTGTAGGTAAAGAATGGATTAGACAGATCAAAGGTGTTCAAGGAGACATGAAAGGATATTTCAACAGTCCTGTCAAAAGATAAAAGCTGGTAATTTAGGCTAGGTCGGTCGCAGTGGAGGAGGGAAGTGAATTAATTCAGTAAGTACTTATGAGGTAAAATCAAAAAGACTTGTCAGCTGGACTTTCTGATTATTAGATACAGGGGGCGAGGGATGGGAAAAGCCCAGATTTGCATAGTTTTGACCTGAGCGCCTGGAGAAGGAGCAGAGGGACGGTAAGTTGTCTTAGACATGTGAACGTCAGTGCACGTAAGAAATCCAAATAGAAATATCTGTAGGCAGCTAGATGTACACAGGTCATGCAGCTAGGTCCAGGGTAAATAAGAGGGGTCCAGGCTAGAGACAAAGACCTAAGAGGAAAACTGAATTGAGGGGACAGGGGAGAGAATGAGCCACCCTCAGGAGAATGCAGGGCTGCCACTTACTGCTAAGCAACTCATGTCTCTGGAGCCTACCACCATGAGCGAGGACCCCCTTATCATGTCCTGCCTTGCATTACAGTGGGTTATCCATATCCTTCCTCCCCATGAGACTGTTTAATTTTCGGGAGCGCTGGACCTGCATCTGGTTCTTCTTGGTAACCACCGTACAGCCTTACAGTGTCTGGCTGGCGTAGGTGCCCAGTCAATGACAAAGAATCCTGAAAGAAGTCCTCCTCTGGCTTTTCACTGTCCCACTCCTTTGCCCCTTCTCAGGGACATTAGTTCTGGGCAGCGAGGGAAGAACGTAAAAAGATGCTAGAAAAAGCGGTCGTCCACCTAACAACCAAAAAAAGGTGAATCGACCCATTACAAGAGGGTTTAAACCATTCAAGAGGGCAGTGAAAGGGACAGCACATTAAATGATCAATAAGACACAGTCACAAGCTTTCAAGGGCTCACAAACCAGTGCGGGAGGCCAACACTGACAGGAAGATGACAACGCTCAAGGGGTGCACGGGTCTCCAGGGTGTAGCTTCCTGATGGAGGGCGCCACGGCCCTGCAGACACCATCCCCGCCGCCCTCGCCAGCTCCTCCACTCACTCTTGTCCAGAGGGCGGGTAAGCTCAGCCCCGACATCCCCATCCGCGCTGGGGCCCTGAGGTTTCACAGTCAGCGGCACGAACAAGGACGTGTTTGGGGCTTTGGAGCCTCCTGATGCAGAGGAGGAGGCTGAGGCAAGGGCAAGAATGCGCCCCAGGCTTCCAGAAAAGGGCCCATTGTGGGCGCGAAGGGCAGAGCAGATAGCTGCCCGGTGTCCAGCCCGGCGCCTCGCCGGGAGCCGAGCCCACAACAGGGCACACCGGGGAAAAGACATGGAGGCCGCAGGCACTACGCGAGTTTGGCTGGAGCAGCCCGGGAAGGCGGCGGAAGGCAGTGACGCACAGCTCAGCGCCTACTGTCCGGAAAGACCCAGACTGAGCAGGGGGCTGCCCAGGAAAACGCCCGACCAATAAGGAAAATGTAGTGCCTAAGATTGCTCGTAAAGGGGAGGAAAAGCTTAGAAATGAAAAACAGGAAACGTAAGTTCTTTCTCTCTTTCTTTGTAGATTGAGACCAGCTCTCTATAAATAAAAGAAAATAATCAGGCACTTTGGGGATGTCATGGATGAGAGGAGGGCCGCTTTAAGTGCGTCACAGGAGGCGAGGTGACCCCGTGAGCGAGCACGTGTTTCAGAAACACGTGGGCAGCGTGGTAAGCGGCGCAGGGAGCACTGATGGTAAAGAAACCTCGTGAGCTGTGGGCACCGGTAAAGCTTGCGGAACCCGACACTAAAGAGCATTTCCCAAAAGTTTATTGGATTAGTTTTCGTTTTCTAACAGACCAGCGTTACAGAACATAACTTGATCTGCCTCTCAGGAACATTGCTAAGGAATTTTGTTCTAGAAGTTCTTAGGTAAACCCCAGTATGATACATGTGTATGTACTTTAACGTGTGTAGTTTGTGTACGTCATCCTAGCTGCTGATAGCGTCATACTGCATAGCAAATACGGGTCCTGTGTTCTCCGTACAAAGTTTAGTTTTATTTGATTTAGTTGGATATTCTGTCATACGTGGTTTCAACTGAATTCAAGATATGTTAGGTTTTTTCACATCTCCCATTATGCTTAAAACATTAAGATGTTAAGACTTGGAGGAAGGTGTCATGCAATATGTAATCCTGTGTGTCAAATAGGACTCCAATAACCAGTTGCTATGTGCCTTTGATTCAGAGTACTTTTAAAATAACGGATACAGGTTGACGTCTTGCCCTCAAAGTGGTTCTGATCTGGTTTTGGTGATGCGAACGGCACACGTTGCATAATGCAAATACCATCTTAAATGAGAGTGCAAAGAAAGGAAAAGTATCAGAGCCTTAAGGCGATTTCTTTCAGTCTTAAAAGCAAGCAAGACAATAGAAGTTTGAAGGAAATTCTGGTAGGAGGAACTATGCAAGCAAAGGCTTAATAATGGAAAAGGTATATTGAAAAATTTTAAAAGAGCAGGGTTAAGGCAGGCCACCTTCTGCGTTTTGCAAATAGTCATTAAATTTTTGGGGAATCGATTTATACAGTGTCTGGGATAGAATGGAACTGATAGGGAAAGATTTACAAGGACAGCAAGGCTCCCCTATCTCACCCCCCTCCTCAAAACAAACAACAAAGAAACACTCCCTTGGTTTCCCGCTCTGCAGAGCAGCGGTTCCCAAGGTTCACTCCCTAAACTCCTTCCCCCTTGCCTGCTCACTTGCTGTGCACGAAGGAATGTTACAGATACGGAAGCAGAAAGATATATATTGTTCTCTTTGCCTTTGTTCGGGGCTCAGACTTTGGGGAGATTACTTCCCTCCAAGCCCGCCGGTGTGAAATAAAGCCTCAACATTCCAAGACCTCCTCCAAGTGCCGCTTGGTTCTTCCGTCAGTGATCCAGTCCAGGTTTTTTCAGTATTTTCTAACAGAACAATCCTCCCACCCCATCCTCTCCAAAAAAACCACAGAGGGAGGAAAACCAGTTGTAACTATAGTAAAAGTTCTAGCTGAAGACGGTGGATTAGTGTGTCTGAATTATAGTGGAGACCACATATGTATATGGAATGGAGAGACTTAACAAAGGAATCCTTAGGCAGTTTAGTAAAGTGACTAAATATGACAAAATGTCATTAAACAAGGATGTCTTATTAGATTTGGAAACTAGAATGAACTGAACATTTAATATGCAACCGTTGTTAGTATACCTGACAACCATTTATAATTATTTGTTCAGAAATCAACAGTTGCTGCTAATCTTATGATTATAGTAACATAATCTAATATAGTTTCACAGAAAACAAACCTTAAACTCTTAAGTGGTAACTGGTAACTGGTATACCTCCTTGCAGGTATAAAAGGCATTCTGAATTTTTCATACTACATATAGATTTTCCTCTTCAGCCATTCATAGAATTCTATAAACATTGAAACGGGAAAATTCAACATTAAAATTTGCTTTTTTAGGATAGAAAGTTGTCGTCCCCTTTGCGAGATACTTATAGCACTGTCATTGGCACTTAGCACATATTAGAGCTTCCTTAAGTGTTAAAACAATTCTGTAACTATGTAACTCGTCCCTTGCCTGCTCTCAAGCCTCTATCCATACTTGACAGTCACCATAATGATCTTTTGAAAACACAAATCTGAGTAATTACTCTTGCTTAAAATCCTTCATTGAATTAAGTGTTCAGATAAAGCCCATACTCCTTATTTGCATGTCATCAAAGCCCCTTCCTAAACTGCTTCCTTATGCACTTCTTCAGATTCATCTCTCTACACCTCATATGTTATTCTATTCATGCGAGAACTGTATGCCAGTTACTATGTCATCATTTCTCACCTCCATAGCTCTGAACACATTGGGTGCCTCACACACACAGGACCTAGTAAAACCACTACCACAGCACTAGAACTGTGCCATAATCGGGTCTCTAGTTTTCAAACTTTCAGAATCATCTGGAAAACTTATTAAAAACAAGATTGTTGGGACTATACCCCTAGTTTCTGATTCAATATAGGCCGAGTAGGCCTGAGAGTTTTCATTTCTAATGGATCTCCAGGTGATGTGGACTCTGTTGGTCTGGAGACTACACTTTGAGAACCACTGCTCTGAACTCTATTTCTTCAGGTAGGACCAATGAAATAGCACTACGGAGATACTCAGGAAATGCTGAATGTATGCATAAATACAAATAAATGGGGAGGTGAAAGGTGGTGAGAGAAGTAAAGATAACCCAGATAGCAGGGAATAAGATAAGCAAGTTCTCTCTTCTTTGCCTTTGCTATTAACAAATCCTGGTACAGATTTCACAAACGCACATCCTTGTTGACTTCCCACCCTCACATCTCCTAAATTCTGGAATTTGAAGTTTCTAGTACTTTTCTGACATAAGGTTATCATCTAAATACTAAATTATCCTCAGTGAATTTTTAAGATCTACTCCTAGAATCATGGAGTATTACAACAGGAAAGGGCCACAGAGATTATCTGATCCAGTTTCTCCCCAAACTTAGGGAGGAAGCAACTATCAGAAGCATTTGTGGAACTTGTAGATAGCCCCCATATGCCGTCTTTCTCCCCAGGACCTGATAACACTCCTATAGAATCTAGTAGGTTTCCTTTATTCTGATACTGAGGTGATAATAGTTCTTAGCCATGACTGTATTACATTTGGGCCCCTATTTTTTTCTAGAGGACACCTTTAATTTTACAATCAGGAAAATAAGATTCACCCATTTATTCAGATATTGAGTGTATATTATGTGATAAGTACAAAGCATACCAAAACAAACAAAGCCTCAAACTTAAAATCCATAGAATTGAAGTCCTACATGTGGTAAGTATAGTCCTGGAGGCGTGCACAGCATACTGTGGCAGCACAACAAAGGGACATCTGACTTGGAGATGGGAGGTGGTGTCAGATGGGCCAGGGGAGTCATACCGTGAGCGAGCTGGAGTGTGGGGGCGGAAGGCAGGAATCTGGCATAATTGGAGCTGAAGGTGTGTTCTGTAGTATTGAAATTTAAATCTTATCCTAGAAGCAACTCACTGACAAGACTCTAATAGGGGAGTGATGTAAGAATTATGCTCATAGAAGACCCAAGCCTAAAAAAAGGATCTATTCACATTTAAGTGTATACATTTTCCTCACTATACCTTTATCTGCTTTGAAACTTATACCACTGAAGCATAAAAAATTTGAGAAGGCATTTGAGTGTCTGAAATAAACCCTACCTAATAAGCACAGCCCCCCAAAAGAACTCAGTTGTCATAAAACCCCTTTCAGGGAACCAGGAAAGATTAATTCATCACCAGAGCCAGAAGTCAGCAACACACCTAAAAAGACTTTGTCACAAAACTATCCTATCTACTTTAAGGGCCATTTGTCTTTTCTAAAAGTCATTTGCTTGTGCCCTTTATCTCACTAACTTCCCCAAAAAGCCATTTGTAAGTGTCCTTCACCCTCTTTTTTATATAAGCCCCAAATTCTAACTACCCCTTTAAATCACATTTTTGTGAACTCCCTCTTACTGGATTGTCTGTTTTTTGCTTATCTTTCTTTTGTCACCTTAATTAGAAGGCTCCCAAATACTAAACCTAAGAGGACAAAAAAAAATTTTTCCTCCCAAAAATTCTTCACTAGTGAAAGAAATAATATTTAAATTATTTAGACAGACTTCTCAACCCTGGGTAGTTTTTAGTGCTAATGTCTGGACCCCTAAAATTCTGATTATTTTTGGTCTGGGTAGGGCATGGTTATTTTCAGAAAGTGATTTGAAAGTGCAGCCAGGGTTGAGAAACACTGGATTAGACATAGTACTATTCAAGGCAAATTTCTTTTTCAATTTATTTGTAATTTAACTGGCTGACTTTTTTTTTTTTTGAGAGGGCATCTCTCATATTTATTGATCAAATGGTTAACAACAATAAAATTCTGTATAGGGGACTCAATGCACAATCATTAATCATGGTTATTTTCAGAAAGTGATTTGAAAGTGCAGCCAGGGTTGAGAAACACTGGATTAGACATAGTACTATTCAAGGCAAATTTCTTTTTCAATTTATTTGTAATTTAACTGGCTGACTTTTTTTTTTTTTGAGAGGGCATCTCTCATATTTATTGATCAAATGGTTAACAACAATAAAATTCTGTATAGGGGACTCAATGCACAATCATTAATCAACCCCAAGCCTAATTGTCAATAACTGGCTGACTTTTTACCAAGTACACCAAATAATGAATTCAAACTTTTTTCAAGTTTTGCAACAAATTCTCAAGCAAAGTGAATAAGCATCCTATTTATGAGTGTTTTAAGCCACCTAATTAAGCCATATATAGCTATTTAAAATTGATACTGACAATATTTATGAACATTTCTAACCATCAGAATTATAGCTTTCTATTAAGCAACCCTGTCCTCAATGACAAATCTCAAATTAAAAGAGATTTTAGAATAGAACTATTCTAATCATTCAAGTAGCAAATGCAGTATACATTTCAAATTCTTTTATTACACATCATGGTTGTGCAGTTTGAGGCTGGTTAAATACAATTGGTTTTCAAAATCGCTTTGAATATTTTCTAGATTACTACATGCAAATGACCATGAAAATATTTGGCATGTTTTAAATTCTGAAATTCTGAACAGGCACTTAACATGAAGGATAAACATTACCATTCATAGATATCCACATTTAAAATAGATGATCCAGCACATGGTACATGGAACCTTTTGCCAAGAAAGAAGTTGGTTACGGACCATTTTATCAAAGTGCCATAGTAGTAAAACAGGATTAAGAAATGTAATTTGGGTTACCTAGCTTACTCAATAAAGTAAGGTTAACACAAGACTTGCACTTGTGTATAAAAAAATATTGGTACAAAAATCAATGAACCATACGTGAAAGTAGTTTCACACAGCAGGCTTCATTTTAATTCCTGCACCTCACATTTAGTGTATTTGAGATCAGACCCCATGCATATGAACAGATAACTGCCACATTTTTTATTTTAGAGACTTTAAACAAATGACTTGAATTTAGTACTAAAAAAACAGAGAGGGGAGATTTGAGTTTGAACTAACCAAAGCTCCAGTTTAGCAAACATGAAATTGTCCAGATCTGAATTACTAACTACATGCTTCACAGGTCTTCCTGAGTACCCCCATCCTCAAATTTTCCCCTGAAAAAGGGAGAGAATATTTGTGAAGTGAAGAAACTGTGTACTGTGGGTAAAAAGATTAAGTTAAAAAAAGTATTTCTGGAAAAGTTACAGTTTTAGCAAATTATAAAATGCCAACATACAGTCAATTCCATATTACAGGAAAACATAACATTGGTATCTGCTGCATAATAGTAGCAAAATGGTTACTTAATATGCCAAAAAGAAAAAAAAAGGCTAAAATGACATCCCACATAATCCCTTGAGGGAAAAAAGTTAGTAATATTCATCATACCGTAGACTTCAAAGAGGATAAAACTCAGGAGGCTATGGAATGGTCAGAATTATAGTTTCCTATTAACACAAAATATTCCTTGAACACAAAATATTGTTTTTTTGCATGTAGAGGAGGTATCATTAGCATGAAAAAGGAGACAAAGATGTGTAATCAACATTATGCAGAAAGAAAAGCAAAATTATAAAACCAGCCTTCTCACACAAAAATCTTTAATGTTTATGCGATGCATATCTGAGTGCTTATCAAAGTGTGCAGTTTTTAAAAAAAACAGCAGCTTGAGAATGTTCCAGTGTTTCAAAGAAAGCACTTCTTTTAATGTATATACATGAAGAACATTTAGTTCAACCATAAAATAAATGCAGCCCTGTAAGATAAAGGAAGACTATTTTAAATGGAGTTTTGGCCTTATTCCCCCCTACAAGCTGCAACCATCTTTAACCTGCTGAACTTAATGTCAATAGATAGAGGAGTTATGTGCTTTTTTCCCCCTCCTATTCAATTCACATTTCAGGCTGTTCAGCAGATGCCTGTGATTCTGGTGATTCAAATCGCTGGTGAAAGTTTGTTCTCTGTTTCCTCAGCTTTTCAGGAGCTTTTCTCCATAAAATGATCTCCTAGTAAAACAAATTAAATATATCAACAAATTAATTTTCCCATGTATTAAATTAAACGTTAAATTTTCAACATGAAATTATACTGCCACTTCAATTTTAACCGTAACAAAATTAAATTCTTCCCACCAAAACCCCTCCTTTTTCCTGATTGACTCACTTTCTTCCAGTTCTAATCCTGGACGGCCCCTTCTGCCAACCCTGCTCCCCACCAGCAGCAACCATGCACACCACCAGCACCACCAGTCCAATCTGGCACAAAGTTCTAGCTATACTGCTTTAAAGAATTCCTAAACTCTGGCCTTTTGTATGCTGTTCTACTGCCCTTATCCAAGTTCAAGCGTGTGTCACTTCAACCTTAGATACTAAAATTTAGTTTCCTGGTCTATGGCTTTGCCTCCCTTGCCTGAGACCCCTTTCTATTCATCCTTCCCTTCCTATCACTGCCAGATTAGTCTAAAACATTGCTTGGATGCTCTTCAATAGTTCTCAGTTCCTCCAAGACAAATCTCCAACCAGGCACTCAAGGCTCTCCAAACCATGTTTGTAAAAGGTAGTTTTTGAAATCTTCACAGTATTCAGCACAGAATAATTTTGAATTTAGTTTTGAACATGGAACATCCAACTGACATTTAAATATTTATTAATCTGATGCAGAAAACAAAGACCATTCTAATCACAACCTTCACTCAAAATTCACCAAAGGCTTTTATAATTGATTTTCAAATGAGAACAAGTCTTATGATAAAGATTTTATATTTTAAAAAAGCATTAGATTTGGGTCCTCCTGTGGATATTTTAAATGAAACTGTGTAATAAGGGAAAAATAGAAACCCCAAAAATCCATCAAGTTAATGCAATCATTAAAAGTGATCGTGGATACAATGGAATATCACTCAGCCATAAAGAAAGAAATCCTGTCATTTGTGACAACATAGACAGACATAGAGGGTATTATGCTAAGTGAAATAAGCCAGGCGTAGAAAGACAGACACCATTACATTTCATTTATACATGGAACCCAAAGACCAAACAAAACAACAATAGACACAGACACTAAGAAGTGACTGGTGGTTACCATGGTAGAGGGGTTGGGGTGAGTGAAACAGGTGGAAGGGATAACAAGGCACCAAATCTCACTCATAATATAAATTAGTCATGGGAATAAAAGTACAGCATAGAGAACTGAGTCAACAGTTCTATAACATGTTCCTGTGTTGACAGTAACTACACTAACTGGGGTGAGCACTTAATAACTGAATCACTGAATAATGTTGATCACTATGTTGTGTACTTGAAACCAGTAAGTTTATCAAGTATACTTCATTTTTAAAAAGTGATAATGGAAATCTCTGTTTGATGATAAAGCAAAGATATTCAAAATACTATGGAGTGAAAAACATGCATACTATACACATATATAAATTTGGAAAACTAATCACAATGGTGGTAAAATTTTTATTGTTCTTTAACTTCATTCTATTCTTCACTGCCTGAATTTTTTTTTAACAAACAGCAGGATTTGTTTCTAGAAAAAAACAACACGTTCAAGAGAAAAAATGTAAGCCCTGCCAAATTATAGCCCTTGCTGGGTCCTGCAGAATGACTGGGAAGAGATCTTTCACAATACAATTCCACTCATACCTATTTACTTATCATACTCTCACTTACATAGAAACCTTCCTTTTCTCAGTCCAATAAAGGTTAGAAAAGAGTGCTTTCCAGGTGTTTTTAGAACTGCCATAGAACAAAACACCAGCTGCTGGCACCATACCTGCTGCTTGAAGTACCTTCTGTCTTCCTCATCAACAAGGACTAGATTCAAAAAGTACCTTACTGAGAATTTTTTGTTCACATCTCTCATTGTTGGAGTTGGGTCATATCCTGCTAAAAATAGTCTTATTGGAATTGATTCACCTGAAAGAAAAGCAACCTCCATTTACTTCTAAAAGACAATTAATATAGTCATATAACACCTAGAACTAAGCATTATGGAGCAGATACTAATGCTTCAGTTCCTCATGAGATGCCAGCATAACAAAACCTTTAGACCAGGTTTCTCAGCTTTGGCACTACTGACATTTTGGGCCCAATAATTCTTTGTGGGTAAGGTCCTATGCACTGTATGAGGTTTAGGAGCCTTCCTAGCTTCTACCCACTAAATGCCAGTAGGATTACCCAAGTGTGACAACCAAAAATGTCTTCAGGAAACGCTTAAATGAGGGGAAGAGGGCAGGGTACAGAGTTGCCCTTAGAGGAGAACCATGACTCTAGAGCCAGAATGCCTGGATCCAAATCCCAAATGTGCAACTCACTGGCTGTGTGACCATGTTTAACCATTCTCTTTCAACTTCATCTGTGAAATGGGGAATACCAATAATATACATGGGTTAATATATGTAAAAATCTTACAACAGTGCCAGCAGACAAGTGCTTTTTTAGCATTTTTGTTATTTTCTGCTTTCATGAAATTTACCATAATTTCTAATCATGTATAAATTCTTGAGTACTTGTTAATTCATCCAAAGTAACAGCCATGTTCAGAATAATGACATTCCTTCTTTACCAAAACGACTGCTATTCAGATTCTCACAGCTTCTCCTTTCTTAAAGGTAATTGGATATTCTGTTTCAAATCATTTTTATATAATACTTAGCTTATGCATATCTATTTCCTGAAAGATATCTGACCTATCACTTTGTATAAAAATTTGTGGCTGCTGGAATTTTACAAAGTAATGCTGCATAATAGAGCATGGATGGGTTTTGGAGTTAGAAAGGCTTGGGCTCCAACTCCAGGTCTGCAATGATTAGCTACTGAAGGAAACAGAGTATGTCACCACAAAATATTCCTCTCTGACATAAAAATTATTTTGAGCTGAAGGCAATTAAGTAGCAAAAGCAAAAAAGACTTCCCCCCCTTTCCACCTAAAGGCAGGATATAAATTCTCCTTTTACTGGACACAGACTCTTAACAGCCCAGGGATGGCACCAGAGGAGAGGAATCTGCAAACAAATGTTACTCCACTAGTTTCCTCCCATGTATTTACCTTCCCTACGGTTTGTCACTCTAGGAAGCCTAAAACTGTTTTGTCTAGTTATTTCTCTCCTGTTGAAGATGCTAAGTAAGCTGATATTTTAAGCCACCACTTTGAGTTACATATTTGTTGAAGTTTCTCCTGCATTATGTACACTGCACGCATTCAAAACTGTTTTTCTTTTATTAATCTGTTAAAGAGTTCCAGCTGGAAATCTCAGATGGGTAAAGGTAAAGTTCTGCCGCCTCTACCTTCTATTACCTTTGGTAAGTTTTTAACCTCTCTGCGTCTCAGTTTCATCTGTAAAATAAGTAATATCACCACCTAACACAAAGGGTGGTAGGGAACTTTAGGGTACCTGAAAGTACAAATGGCATTCAATAAATGGGTGCTACTTTTTTTAAGAGAAAAGGCCAAAAATGAATTTAAAATAAAATACTGGCTTCATTATCTTAGATGCTGAAGATTATCTAGAAATGGAACTTGAGGATTTTCTTGAGGACTATAAGGATTCCAAAATCCTACAGGGATCAATGCTCGGCTATACTGCACCTTAGGTTCAGCATGGGTAAAAAAGCTTTACAGAGACAAACAATTAAAAAAGAAGATAATCAAAATATTATGAAATTCAGAACTAGAGAAGAGATAAACATAAATGTCTCTTCTAAATTCTAAATTTAAACTGAATAAAAAGTCAAACGTCATTTCAGACTAGGTACTGCTATTACAGGTTTCTCAGTATTTATACAAGGATGATTTAAAAACCACCACTTGTAAGTATTGTTTTAAGATCTCACAAATATTTCATGCTGAATAAATACTTTCAAACTAAACTGCTATGAACACTGCTGTTTTCACTACATATAACATATAAGAAGTAAATGAAAAGTATGTTACCTTTTACTGGGGCACCATCCATTATTTCATATTTAGCAATTGTTTCTGTTTCTGTTGTGGTACTGGGTCCTAGTGCAGTAATATAAATGATATTAACTTAAATAGTTACAGAATATAATTTCCAGACTTCCACCTTTTTCCCATTTTCCAAGTACATTATTTTAATACAGATTATCTCATTTTGTAAAAATATTTATCATTCTTTTCTATTTCTTGATCTACATTTAGGAAACTTGTCATTCAACTAAATGTTCCACTTCCTTCTTCACAAATACAGTTCAGAAACAATCCTCTTCACAGATTTCCTTCTCTTGTTTCTGATATCTGCTAAAATAGAAATTAGTAACATACCCAAGAACTAACCAATGACATGCTACTTTTTCTGTAATACCCAACCTTTCTTCTTTCAGAGGTAACCTGAACATAGGCAAAACATCAAACTGAGTATTTGATTGACATATAGTTCTTTTAATCTGGAGATTCACCCTCTAAGAAATTTGACTCCAGACATTAAAAAAAGATTTTTTTATTTTGATATCATTAATGTACAATTACTTGAACGTTATGGTTAAATGTACAATTACTTTAACGTTATGGCTACTAGACTCCCCCCATTATCAAGTCCCCCCCACATACTCCATTACAGTCACTGTTGACTCCAGACATTTTTTGTATGATAGATGAAAAGAGTATACCAAAACATATAGTAATGATCCCCATATTGTAAAATATACAATATACAAAGACTAAAGTCTGTTCTGCATGATGAGTGTTGATTTTTTATTTAAAATTTTCTGGAATCAAACATAATTTTTATAAACAGAAAAACTTAAATAAATAATTTATTTTTAAACAATAAATGGGGACCTGGAGTTTGACTTTAATATTTCAAATTACTTGAACTTTTATTGGCAGGTGAGTAATGGAAATTAAGATATCACAGATGTTTATAATTATAACTACCAACTGTAAATTCTTAAGTGTTGCCTAAAATTTTTTTTAGGAAAAAACCAACAAAGTTAGAAGGGAAAAACTGTATCTACATACTAATTAAAATTAAAATGCAGTTATGAACCAATAAGTGATTTGGGGACAACAGATCAGCTATCCAGAAAAAGTAAAGTTAGATCCATACCTCATCATACATCCAAATTCCAAATTAATTTAAAATATAAACAAAATTCACAAGCTACAATGTATTATTTTAGTGGAATCAGGCACAGAAAATTATGTTTAGAATCTCAGTGTGAAAAAGGCATAACTGTGGCACAAAAACCAGAGTCCATAAAAGGAAAAATTGATAAATTTGATTACAAACATCAAGAACTTCTACATGACATAAACCACCATAAGCAAAACAAAGGCAAAACTTTTGCTGCTCTTAATACATAAAAAGGGACTGATTTCCCTAATACATGAAGTTTCTACAAATCAATAAGAAAAGACTAATAATCCAGTAGAGATGGGTCAGTATTGGTAGGCAGTGTACAAAAAAAGAAATACTAAAGATTATTATACACATGACAAGATGCTTACCCTCACTCAGAATGAGAAAACTAAATTAAAACTACAATGAGTAACATTTTCCCTCTACCCATCAGATCAGCTAAAAGTTTTATAACATTGTGCCTGTGAGAATACAAGGAAAAAGAGGCACTCTTCTATATTCACTGCTGGTAGTAATCCAAATTGGTACAACCCCTGAAGAGAACAAACTGATAATATTTATCACAACTACAAATGAATATACCCATTGAAATAGCAATTCTACTTGTAAGATTTTATACTGCATACATACGCACACACATGCAAAATGACATTATTAACGAAAGCACTGTTTTTAATAGCAAAAGACCGGAAACAACCTGTATGTCCATTTAGCAGACTGGTTAAAGTCTAGCTGAATGCACTACTGAATGCAATACTATAAAACAGGTAAGGAAATGTTCTACATATTGACATGGAAAGATCTCTAAGATACACTGCTACATGAAAAAGCAAAATATGTATTGTATATAACCATTTACCCAAAAAGTGGGGGAGGGTATAATATAGAGGTACTTGCTTGTATATGCATAAATATCTAGAAGGATTTTAAAACTTAAACACATTACCTATGAGTTAGCTGGAGTACAGAAACAGGACACTTTTTACTGTACAGCCTTTTATACTTTTAACCAGGTGAATTTATTACTATTCAAAAATTAATTTTTAAAAAAACATAAATGAGTAACTTACTGCCAGCAATATTAATATTCAATGTGGATAATTATGATTAGCATTTTATGATTTTAAAATTTCGACTAAAACAGGAATTTCAATTCAAATACTCTTTCAACTTACCAATTCCTGTGATCTCTTTTTTGATCAGTTGTAACTCCATATGTTGGATTTTTATTCTTACTAATAAGAAGTAAATTTTTCCAACAATCACATCCTTTAAATGGTACCTTTGGAGAAAGAATATACCTCACTTACTATAAATACCAGTTTAAAAAACAAACTAACAGAGTGAAATACATCCTGAAAGTCTTTATTAGACATCTTTAGGATAATAATTATTTAAGAATACCATTTTGAGTATTCACATTAATGTCCCTGTTTTTCAAAAAGTTTCATCATTTTATTATAGAAATAAGGAATCAAACTTTTACTTGACCATCAATATACCTCAAAGAATTAGCCTGATTACTTCCTGGTCCTTACTTACAGGTTAACTTAGTTTCCAAAGAACTTAAATGTGGAAAATTAAGAATTTTATGGTGTATGAAGATAGATTTTGAAAATTAAAAACTCTACATGATTACTCTAAGTCCTAGAATAGTGCAGCTCATAAATCACCTGGCCACAAAGAGAATCTGCAAGGCTGAATTTATTGCTGTAATATCTGTATCAAACACCTTTTCCAGGAGACTAAAAATTATGTGGAAGTAAACCTGGGAATTCCTACAGTACCCAGAGAGTCTTTGGCCTTCTCCTAGATTTGGACCTCAAAATAATAAGAGTTGAATAATGTCATTATGTCAGTCTGAAGGGAGGCTTCCAGTGACAGGAGTATCTGATAACTTGGTCAACAGTGTAATTTAAGACTCTAAAGGCATGTGTATCACATTTTTGGTGATATAAACTGGGGAGTAACAACTAATAAAAATCATCTAACAGAAGAGTACACAGGAAGGGGACAGAAGAGTGTACATCCATTTCTTCAACAAATAAATTTTAATGAAAATAAATAGGCAGAACTAGGGGAGAGGATTTAATAATATGGGTAACTGTTGAACCACTGTTATATATTGAAACTAATATAAGACTGTATATCAACTATACTTCAATTTCTTAAAAGGCATAAAACCTTTAAATTAAAATAGATTTAAGAGTCAAACAGTCAAATGCAATGTGTCTGGATGCACTGGATTTGAACAAATCTTATTGGGATACTTATTTGATGATTCCAAATCTTGTTTTTACTGATTTGAACAAACCATGTAGGAAAAAAAAAAGACGGAAATGTGAACACTGCTTGAATATGTGACAATATTAAGGAATTATTAATACTTTTATGGATGTAACAATATTGTGGTATATTAAAAGTTATAATATTTATGGATAAAATTATGTATCTGAAATTTGCTTCAATATTATCTATGAGATTGTGGGGGCTGAATGAAGATAGAACAAATCTGACCATATGTTGATACCTGTTGGAGTCAGGCGGTGAATAATGAGGATTCATTATAGTTTTCATTATGTTCATATACTTTGGTCTATTTTTTAAGGTTTCCATAATGAAGTTTAAAAAGGCAATAGTAGTAAACAAAATAAGGGCCCATTTCTGTAAAAATGCAACATATATAAACATATATATCTTCCCCTCCACCATGGAAAGATAAACAAAAGGATATTAATTGTCGTTAAGTAGCAAAGATGAAAATATGTGATAGTTTTACTTCTGACTTTTCTACATTGTCAGAATTTTCGATAATGAAAATGTATTGCTTATGTAGTCAGAAAAAGTATTTTTGTTTAGTTTTAGAGATAACAGGCCAATGTTTACACACATTAAGAGATTAGCTGCCTTCTGAAATGGTGAGATCCTCTACAAAAAATGGCCAGACTTATCAGAAACAGAATACAAAAAACACCTGAACTGAGTCAGAAGCCAGACCAAACTTTGAAGTTTCTTGCAGCTGAGAGATTGTTAGTCTGCTAACACCATATTAATATCAATTCTATCCTTATTTTGACCAATATACAAAGACGTAAAATGTTTATTTCCTATTTCTCCATGAACATTTAAGTTACCTGTTTGTGAAAGGTACTTACTTGGATTTATTATATTCAAATTCTATATGTAGACAATCTTCAATGCCTACTTCCATTTTAATAGAGTTGTTAACATCGGGATAGGTGGCAAGCTGGTGAACAATAAGGTCATATTCTTTTACCAAGTCTGTCAATCTTCTTACTATTGTCACTTTAAGAAAATACCTACAAAGGTAATGGAGAGGACAAGTTAAATTTCCTATGATAAAAACTCAGGGTTTGAAGCAAGCAAACATTAACTGAACTCAGCTTTTTCCTTCCTGGAACTTCTTTGAGATCAACTTTATTTACTTCATGAAGGAGTTCTAATTTTTAAATAATATAAAGTTCAATTTTAGCAATAGTATACATACTTTTTAGATGAATTTGGAGTGCTATCACCAAGGCTACTTGAGGAAATCTCCTTAGATCACTTCTTAACCATATTCTCTATGAGATTTCTTGGGACACTAATACACTTAGAGCATAATTCCCTTTACATGATAAATGAAGTACCTAAAGGACATTCATACAAGGGAAGTATGTAACTGAAACTTCTCATTATGTGGTTCTCTAAATCTGTAATGATAGAAGAAGGTTCTTATTACCTCAAATCAGCATTAGCCAGACAGAACAAAACATTTGACAGAAATTTAAAAAAATCTTAAGTTTTCCAGTCCAGAATCATAATTAGAAGTTCTAATAAGACATTCAATAGTAGCCATTGCTTTCTAGTTTTCACTCTGTCTACAGTTTCTAATACACATTCATACCTCAAGCGGACATTGGCACCGATGTAAGATTCATATGGCTTTTCAACTTGCATAAATTCAAAATCATAACTTCTGCTCTGAGTCAGTTCTCCAGGTAAGGCTAGTTCTTTCACTAGGTTTACAAATTCGTGAGTATTACTCTTGTCATTGAAAAGTTCTAAGAAATTTTAAAAAGCAAAAAGACCAATTATATTTAATACCATTTCATTAAAACCCAGACTTCTACCTCAAAAGCAAATGATTTTTACCAAGAGAATTAGTTGGATTTCTATTTTAATATACTGGAGCTATAATCTAAATCTCCCATTATCCTCATTATTATGTGCTACTTAGGCATAAAAAAATTCAAGCAGCATGGCACAATGAAAATTTCTATTATCAAAAAAGTTCATTGGGGTGACGATTTAATAATGTATATAACTGCTGCAACACTGTGTGGTATACTTGAGACCAATATATCAGCTGTACTTCAATTAAAAATAATTCATTCCTTTAATGTAGTTAGGGTTTGCCCAATATGAAGCTGTTGTGACAAGACACATTTCCAGCAATTATTTGAACTTCCTCCCTTCAAGGCAAAAAGCATTTTGTTGTTTTGCTTCAGCTATGCAAATATATTACCTGACAAAACTATAATATAAAAGACTAAAAGTAACTATCAGTTAACTACTATAGTTTGCCCAAGTATAATCTCATCCAGAATAGATACATTAAAAAACCCACCTATTCCCATTTTGACACTTTAAAAATGCACAGTAAAATTTAGCTAGATTTAAAACCTAGCTATGTATACATACTATAAAGACCCACTTTGTCTCTTTTCCAAATCTACAGAACCAAAAGACTTATAGTTTAATTCCTGCTAAATCAAGAATGTCTCTGAAATACACATATATATGGAAATGTACACAAGTTGATCTAAGTCAAGAAGAAATTACACCTTTCTTTTTCATATGGAATTTTCTGTTGACAGGTGAGTCTAGCTACAGGCACAAACTAGTTAGGAAGACAAATGGCTGGGTAGTAAGAAAGTGGAGGATGTAGATGACACAGATGATTATGAGTAAAGCTGGTGAAACATGTAGGCAGATGGAAATCTCAGTGAATTTACTTGAATTGTTTTTCAAGGCTGGTACCTTACATAACTCCTTTTACTTGTAGTAGTTAAGTTTAATAGCAATAAATGCAGGATGAATCAAATATTTAATACAATTAAAAGAAGCATGATTAATGTTTATAAATCTTCTCTTTTATTATGCAAAACCAATTCTTTCCACAAAACTAAGGTCTAATTCAATTATTTAAGTGCCAAATCCAACACTCTTCAAACTTACTTATCACAGAAAAAAAAAGTAATACTATTTTAAAACTCACCAATTTGACCTACAAATTCAATTCTAATTCCTTGGTGCTCTAGCCTCTTTCCAGGTTGCTTAAAGGCTAGGTTTACCTGCCAAAACATGAAATTATAAAATTATAAGAGATGTTAACAATCCTTTGAGTGGGCCTACTAGTAGATTCCTTCCAGATGAATGCAGTATATACATATTTCAGGTATTCATTTCAGAAGTTTGAGATGCCACCACATAGCTAGATCATGATGACCTTACAGCACCAGAGAAGATATAACTTACTTAAATACAATCACTAATGAACCTATTACTTATACATACATGTAAAGTGTCTGCTTTGTTAGGAAGGAACACTCTGTAACTGGAAAACTGTTAAGTACTCAGTTAAAAAAAAAAAAGGAAAACTTTCAACTATTCGAATGTGTTGTCTGGTTGAACAGTTAAACATTCTACAACAATAGCATTTTAATGTAAGGGAAATCACTAATTCCAAAGAATTGACCTAAAAGATAACTTTTAGCTTTTTGTAACCAAAATACAAAGGTGTAATTCCTAACCATAACAGCAATGCTTAATGCCCTGAGTCTGCTACTCATCCTAAAAACAATATCTGAAGATTTTAATGTTGAGTATGCTTTATCTTACATACTTTTGAAGTAAAATATATAATCTCAAAATCTCTAAATTCCTATCTGCCAAATGGAAGCCTTAATTTTATAAATTTTTAACTTGACAAAAAGTACATACATATTAAAAATACTGCTCCAAACATTTAAGAATTAGCTAACATTAAAAAAAAAGCATGCTTCCAGGTTTATTCTTTACCATTAAAAAATACTGGTATTATGACTGTAAAAGCTTTGTTCTTCTAAACACTGGTTCTCAAAAGATAACAGAAATCAAGGACCAATAAAAACAGAGGTGTTGAAACCAATATAACATTGTATAACAACTACACTTCAATTAGAAAAAAAACAGAGGTCCAATTACTTCTGCTTGTAAACTAATTAAAATGTCCACTCTTCTGTATCTCTTCCATATCTGTAACCATATGAGATACCTGATTTTTCAAATAGCATCTCAGAAAAAGAAATAGAGATAAATCATATGATGGAATACTATCAAAGTTAAAAAAAAATAAGGCCAAAGATTTTTTAATGATGTGGGAAGATGTGCATGATATGTTACATGAAGGAATCATGGTCAAATTGTATACAAGTATAATGCCAATTATGTATTTTTTTAGCTACAGAAAAACACTCTTAATAGCAGTTACTCTGGAATGTATGATTACAGGTAACTTCTTAGTAGTTTTCAAGTTTGTTTACAATAGGCAAATGATAATTTCAAAGTCTGAAAAATATTTACTTAAAAATAAGTACTTAGGGGGGCGGAGCCAAGATGGCGGCGTGAGTAGAGCAGCGGAAATCTCCTCCCAAAAACCACATGTATCTATGAAAATACAACAAAGACAACTCTTCCTAGAATAGAGACCAGAGGACACAGGACAACATCCAGACCACACCCACACCTGCAAGAGCCCAGCGCCTCGTGAAGGGGGTAAGATACAAGCCCCAGCCCTGTGGGACCCGAGCGCCCCTTCCCCCAACTCCCGGCG